TGACTTCCCCAACTACCAGTTCCGCACCGAAAAATGGAATAAGATTAGTAGTTTAATTTTCAAATACTTTTCTTAGTTGTTCTTTTTAACCTTCTGGCTTTAAATTTTAATTTTGTAAGCGTAAAGTAATTAAAACTTGCTTCAAAGTGATTAAAGGTTGAAAGGAACTCACATTTGGTATGATCTCACTTGGAGTCTTATTATGTATATGCTTTAATAAATTTTAAATTGAAAGTTCTTTAACCTTATTTGAGGTTAAAGTCAAAAAGTTTGTACTCTTATGAAATAGTTTTGACTTTATTAGAATTTGAATTTGGATTGAATCTATAAATATTGAGAATACATGCATTGATTTTTACAAATTATTATGATATTCAATTGATAGTTTAATTATTTATATTTGTGCTTCACATATTGTTACAGTTATTTTTCTCATTTGTATTTTTAACTATTTATGAACTTTCCCTGAATGAATTTATTTGTCAAATGGCATATATTTTAAATTAATTAAATTAAATTAAATAATATGAAAAATATTTTAAATAATTTTAAACAATAAAATAAAAAATATCAATATTAATATCATATACTAAATAATGCATATTACAGTAACAACAAATAAGGAAAATAGTAGGATATATTTTACTTATATTATTTATAATTTCGTATGCTAAGTTGTTTTGGAATATTGATTAAAAAAATCATAACTTATTAATCTTATCTTTTGTACTTAGAGATAATTTTAAAAATAAAGTAAATGAATATTATTTATACTTAAAGATAACAAATAAAAACACCTCTATTCATACTTTAGGACAAATTTAAAATCATGATCTAGTTTAAATAAGATATTAATATGTTAACATACAAAAATGATAAAACTTATAACATATCTTAGTGGAAAAATCCTTCAATAGAGATTTTTGTAAATGTTTTTACTTTGAATTCAAGCCAAAAATAAATAAAAATAAAGTGGGTCAATAATAATAATAAACTTATAATATTTAACTATTATTAAAATCAAATAATATTTTAGGAGGGAAAAATATATATTTTATATTATAAAACAGAAGATCAGCCAATAAGAATATTAAGACAAGTGATAAATTAATTAAAATTTAGTCGATAATTATATGATATTAAGTAGTTAATAACATAGTAATAAACAAAAACATAATATATTGTACAAGTTATTAAATGATTTTGTAATTTATTCTTCAATTTTATGGAGATTTAATTATATTGCGCTTAAGAAATAGATGACAAAGAAGTTTTGATAAAAGATGAGAGAGTTCTATTGAAATAAGTCATATTACGATATATGAGATTACTAATTACTAATTACTAATTTCATATTATACTAGTTATGGTTAAAAGTTAAAATTATTTGTTCAAAATCTTCCTTCCAAAATCTCCCTCGCAAAATCTGCCAAAAAGAATGCCCTTCTTCTACCATATCCCTTTCTCAAAATCAGAAGATTTCCCCTTTTACAATTTCTCCATCTCGTCCAAAACCCATCACTTCATTTGAATCTCAAATAACTTTAGAATTTAGAAATAGCAATATAAATGTATCATTTTCTTGCTTAACTCTCTTTTTTTCTTCTCTTCATCTACTACGGATTGAAATACTAATATCGGGTTAGTGTTTTTCTTTTTTATAATTGAATTTGAGTTGTTCTAAATAGCTTTTTGGAGTGCATTTTGATTTCACAAATAAATTGAATCATGTCTATTTATTGTGCATTTGTTTGTGGCCTGCGTTTTTACTATAGAAGAATTGAGACCTAATTTATGTGGTGTTGTAATAGAGTGGTAATAAGAAGATGAATTTGTTGCAGAAGGTTGTGTAGGGGATGTTATTACACAATTTTCTGGTGTGAATATCATATTCACATATTATGCATTATAACTGTTTGACGAAATGCCATGTGGAACATCTTAAATATTATGACTCTCTTTATTCTCCTAAATTCTTTTCTAATTCACTAGTGTGCAGGTCAATAACAACGGATTCTTCAAATTCTGAAGATTGCACGGCCTATGTGCCACACCATTTGGAAGAAAAGCTAAACACAACTTGTTGTGTGTTATCGCCTTTCGTACCTCTATTGTGAGTATTACTGCATCTTATTGTTGAGTATTTTTGAGCTTACTAACTAATGATTCATGTGCAACAACTTGTTTTTGCTAGAAACCCAACTTACGGACCAAGCGTGATGAATATCGTTGAATTGTGATTTCCTTTTGTGATCCTCATTAACTGGTTAGTCCCTTTTTGATGCATTACCATTTGAATGCTTTGAAGTTCTGCTACGAAGCAAACATGTACACCACACTTGACTTTGTATTTTTGTTTAAATTTGTGTATTTAGAAGGCATGATTATAGAAGTTTCAATCAATTCTATCTTTTGGTCCTTTTATATATGTAGATTCATGTTTCATATTTTAGCTTTCCGTTGGTATGTAGTTGGATCGATGCTTCGCCTCATCCGTGCTCCTTGGAAACCTTGACTCTTCAATAGATTAAATTCATCTTAACTTAAGAAAAGTGGTACTTTCTCTTTGCCTTACCGTCTTTTCTCAGCGGATCAGCCACATAGTCCGAAGTAAGGTTAGTGACGGGAACTTAGCTATATTTTGGTCAGGTTTCCGGGGTTGGTTCCTCTACTAGAATAGGTCCCGAACGCCTCACTTCTCTTACTTTCGGTGCTTAAGATGGTGACATTGTATATTTGTTAGTCTGTTTGAAAATGTCTTGCCTTATCCATTATATGTTGGGAAAATTTGGAAACAAAAATTGTGAGTGCAAATACGAAGAAAGATAGAAGTTCAGTGTGCATATCATGATCAAGCAGGCAGAAAGAAACATTTTGAGTGTCATGTCTCAAGCCTTTTCCTTCTAATAACTGGACATTACCAAAAAAAGAAAAAAAGAAGATTGACGAAAAATAAAGTATCACACGCTTTTACCTGAATATCAAATACTTGGACACCATATTGTAAAGTACCACTTAGCTAGCCGTAAATATTTATTGCTTGTGTTTAGTATCATATGCACAAGAATGTGTCTGTAATTTCTTATCCCGGATACAAAATTAGTTTCCCCAAAGTAAGGATGAGAGTATAAAGATTGATTGTACTATATCCGGACTGCCTGTTCAAGTACTTTAATCACTTTTGATATCATGTTCAGTTTTTTTTTAAATATAGTGTAATGTCTGAAATTATTCATGTTCCAACTACATGTTCATATAAAAAATGGTGCTTAGGATCATATCTATACTTTAATATATTATTTTCTTATTTATTTTTTTAATTGTTATTGTAGCTGGTGGAGGAGTGAAGAAATCAAAATTGCTAGATACATGAACAATTTTTTTCTCTTGTAAAAGTATATTGATATGTTTGAATAAAATAATGTTTCACTATTTTGAATAATATTATTGAACATTTATTAAATTATTTCTCTAATATTACATTTATTACACAATTTAAGATGTTTTGCTACAATTGTCTATACATATCATGCCAAAAATAATTTGTCAGCTACATTATATGAATTATTGTGGCTAGTAATGTTTGTGACAAATATTTTTAATTAGTAGTTGTAATTCTTTTTAAGTTTGTAGCTAAACATACATATATTTGCCACACAAATGTTAGTATGTATCCACCTAATTGCTCGGACTCGGGTGCGGGTGTCCGATACGAGTGTGAATCTAGAGTTCGGATCCATCATGATCTAATTTTTAAGATTCGAGGATATGGATCCATGTATGGATACAGGTACGGGGATTCGCCTAAAAATAATTAAAATATCTAAAAATAGAATTATAAAACCTAAATTATGAGATAAGTATTATGTAGAAAACTTGAGGAGATTCCTGGAAGGAGATTAAAGGAAACAGAGTGACATGGAAATATTTATATAAAAGGTATTTCATTTTCTTCAATTTCACCTTAACTTTTGCATTGGTTATAGAAATCATTAAAACTGTCTTGACTTTCCCCATCGATTTTGGTCAAAGTACCCAAAATCGGTTGACCAAATCAGACACAAATCCCACACCCACACCATGTCGTGTCGACACGGGTGCGGCACAAAAAGTGAACATTGGTTATAGAAATCATTAAAACTGTCTTGACTTTCCCCATCGATTTTGGTCAAAGTACCCAAAATCGGTTGACCAAATCAGACACAAATCCCACACCCACACCATGTCGTGTCGACACGGGTGCGGCACAAAAAGTGAAGAGTCCAAGCAACTTAGGTATCCACTCTTATTTTCATAGTAAATGAAGAAATCTTTCCCTACAATCAATATTTTGTGACAAAAAAGTAAAATTTTTTAGCTATAAACTTTTTAAGTCGTAACTAGACATATACCTCTATAATTGCCAGGTATCAAACACATGACTAAAATTTCACTTTTTATAGCAAATGTAGATTTCTTTTAGCAATAGTGTTACATATTTTTTTGATAAAAGTAATAGTGTTACATATTTCATGACTATATGTCACATCCTTAGTCTTTTACTAAGCACACGTGTGACACTTGAAAACTTGCTCACATTCTTGCACCACTTGTTCACAATCTTGCTATGCCAAGTCAGCCTAAGATTCTAGGAATCACTCAGAGAATTGAATAAAGAACACAAGAGGATTGCTTGGAAAGATTGTATTGTAGAGAACTTTGTTGATTTTTGCTTGATGATTTTACAAATGGATGCCCCTCTATTTATACTACTAATTTAGGGGCTAAAATGTAAATAATAATTATTACATAAGTTGCTAGATATTTATAAAATAGTCCTCTCTCTAGAATCTTCTACAATGCTAGAAAATTCCAAGGACCTTTCATGCAAATCCTAAAAACTCCGAGAACTTCCATAGGAAATCTCTCTATTTCTGAAGATCATCCACAAGGACAAGTCTTTCTCCTATGTAAGTCATCCACATGGGAAAATTTGTGCCATGTGGTACTTACGTGGCGCTCGAATCTTATTTTTGAATAGCCACAAGTCCTCATACCGTTCCCTTGTAGCTTCTTCCAATGGTTTCCCTTTTCAATGGTCGTGGAACATGACAATGGATTTTTGTTTGTCTCCCTCAAAACTTGTAGTGGTTTCCAAGAACATTAGCCCTTTCTTGTCGAGCCCCTTCACAATTTATATAGCTGAAAGTTGTGCTTAATTCTGCTTGTGTGGTATAGTTACTGTAGGCACCATGCAAGCCCCTTCTCGTTCCATGACCGAGAGATAATGTAGGTAGGGGTCGATCAAGGTATGACACTGTGTGAAGAAGTCTTGCCCTAGAATAATATCAAAGATATCCATCTTTGTAAAGGTTAAGTTTGTCATACCTTTCCAATTACCCAATTTGATACCAACACCATTGGCAACACCATGAGCATTTTGAGGATCAACATCCACAATTTTGACGCGAGAGTTAGTTGGAGTATGCTTCAACTCTAGTCTCTTTGTTGCAGCCTCGATCATAAAATTATGAGTTGCTCTAGTGTCAACCAATGCACGAGCAAGCTTATTGTTGATGATAAGGTCTACATACTGATTTTTATTCTCGTTAACTTGGCTGGCTAACTTTGTGATGGCTCCACATAGTCCAATCACTCCTAATTGAGCTGTGACCAAACTTTGTCCTTGCGCTTTCTCCTTCCGCTCACGCACCATGGTGGTGCTAAGACACTTTAAATCGGGACCATCCTTGAAACTATGTGGCCCTCTGCATATGTAGCAGCCCTTCCTTTCGGACTGTGCTTTCTTTTCTATGTAGCTCTAACAACCAATTGACTTCTTGTTATCAAACTTGTGGATATATCGAGTCTTGTGGTGCTGTTGATATACTTCTTTGATTTTACCACAATCTCCTCCACCCTTAGCAATGCCATCCTCTAACTTATTGCCTCTGTCTTTGTCATACTTCTCATTCCTGAAATTCATCAAAGACTCGGCTTCCACTATGGCTTGGTCTACAACAGTGACTCGCCGGCGTTGCAGTTCCTGCTTAGCCCAATTTTGCAACTTGTCCATAAAGTAGAACAACAAGTCATCACTAGTGAGGTTGGGGATTTGAAGCATAAGGGTGGTGAACTCCTTGATATAGTTGTGTATGCTCCATATCTGCTTCAACTCTCGAAGTTTATGTCTTGCCTTGTACATGACATTATTTGGGAAGAACTACTGCTTGACTCGACCTTGAACTGATCCCATGTGCTAATAGTGCGCAAACCTCTGACAAGTAGAACACTACGGTGTTAATCTTTGCATTATTATCCCTTACATTTCCATGTTGAAGTAGTTCTCCAATTGCCAAAGGAAGTTCTCTACTTCTTGTGCATCACGAAATCCTTTGAACACTGGTGGCTTGGGAGCCTCGATCTTAGCCTCCCTTGTCACGATAACATTCCTAGTGGTCTCCGTCACGCCAATGTTGACCTACTCTTCGAGTGCCTCTATCTTTGCCTTCATGGTATCGATAGTGCTCAACAACTCCATAAGCCTGCACTCTAAGGTAGCGATGGTCTGCCTCATCTTTATCTCAATTTGCATACGCCCATCCAAGTCACTTCGGATGCTTTCGATCTCTTCAAGAGTATGCCCCTCAAGAATGCCTAGAGCGCCTTCTACTTTCCCCAAGTGTTGGCCAAATATCTCGACGGCGTCCATCCCCGCATTAGCCTTTGTGACCCACTCTCTATCGAGTGAGGCATCCTTGGGTAGGACCTCCACATCATCCTCGCTCGCCTCAGTAGTATAAGGTTCTTGGGATGTAAGCCCTTCATTTGGCTCAACCTCGAGCGGAACCCCTCAATTCTTGTTGGCGAATAGTAAGTATGACTATCTATTTTTCGTTTTTGAATTAAAATATTTGCTAATATGATAATGCTATTGAGATTTTGATTATTTTTATGTGCAATTAAATATTTTACTTTCTTGGTATTAATGGGCCGCACTTCAAAAAGGCGAGCGCCTCGCACCTTGTCGCCTTTTATCACCATTCACCATCCAAAACATTGCTACTCACGAGGAATGTACCAGAATCCTTACCAAATAGTTTATATCCCTTCTGAGTGTCCATGTAGCCTAGAAAAACAGTCTTTTTTGCTCTAGGATCAAACTTTCCTCCTTTGGGCAATACACTAGCAAAACAAAGGCATCCAAATACCCTAAGGTGATCAAAGACACGTGGCTTTCCATTTAACAATTCATATGGAGAGTTACCAAGTAATACACTAGAAGGTAATTTGTTGATCAAATAATCTGCAATCTTGATACAGTCTCTCCAAACCTATGTGGAACTGTACTTTGGAACATCAGAGACCTTGCAACGTCAAGAATATGTCTATGCTTCCTTTCCACAACTCCATTTTGTTGTGGAGTGTAAGGACAACTGCTTTGATGAATAATACCAAGAGAAGAAAATAATTTTGTGCATTGAGAATTAAAGAACTCGCTATTATCAGATCTAAGAATTTTTACACACACCAAACTGATTCGTTATTCTGAGTAAAAAATCTTTCAAAACAACAA